GGGGGGGGGGGGGGGGAGAGATGAACACAGACAAAATGAACTTGTGCAGCTAATAAAGCAGGAGGCACACTCAGTGAAACAAAGAAACGTTATTAACGGACTCAACAGGTGGAGCTTTATGAGTCTGACCAACAAGACAACGAGATTAATGAGACTGTCAGAGCCCCCCCCCCCCCNAGACCCCCATGTCTACAGGACGCTTTAAAAATGTCTGAATAGATATATTATGGTTAATATGATAACATGTTTTTTCTTTCTCTGATACTTTTCTCTTCTTTTCACCTGAGCGGGAAGGGGGCGCAGATGGCATTAATGGATACTGAGATTGAACCAGCCACTCTTATGTGGCTGGAATTGTTTATCTTGGTTCAAGTTATTAAATTAAGTGATTATTTAACTGTTTCTTGTCAACTTTTCGTATACCAGAAATCGTTTTATTTTTGAAGATTTATAATGTCCCTAGCACTGAGAAAAACTGTTTGGAAAATAAATCGGAATTTTCTTAAATCAAGACTTTATTTAGGGAAACTCCTTGAGTGGCTGCGTACGTTTTGATACCATTTTGGATGTTTGACATCTACTGTTAAAGAATAAGGTTATAGTTTATATACTGCAAATATATATATATTTAAAAAAAAACTAACAATGAATAACCCTTCTGATATCTTCCTCCTTTTTTGTCATAGTGCTCCTTTATTTAAAATATATATATTCATGTTATAATATATATTTTGTATTTACATCTTCATTAGTAGCCTAACCGATGGGCCGCTGACAGAGTTTGGAAGTCAGAAGGGTTCTATTGTAAGTTTTGGTATTTTCTGACTTTTTCCTTCATTGTAAAAAGGCTTCTGTGGCGCTTTCATTTGGAATCTTTTGGAATAGGTACCAAAAACTGATTTCACACTTTTAAGCGTTTTATTTCTCTCAAAGGAGGAGAATAACCTTAGTGGCATTACCCTCCAGGTGATTTAAAACACCCTAGTCGCGAATCAAAATGAAATCAAATATTTGCAAATATAGTATGGCATTGTCACTAAACAAATATTACAATTTTCAAAAGATATTTCAGAACACAAAAGCCTTCATCTTTGTGGCTGCGATTCCTTCCAGATCAGATTGTTCAGTGGAGTTATTCCACCGAGAGGACGCACTCCTGCCTCATCCGTCTGAATGTCTCCGTCTGCTTATCTAAATCACGATATCACAAAAATCACACACACACACACACACACACACACACACACACACACACACACACACACACACACACACACACACACACACACACACACGCTGCATTTTAAGTTTGTTTGCAGTTGTGGCGAGTAGGCTATATATTTCTTTCAGATATTGACTGGCTCTCAGAAGCTAAATGTATGAATAAATAAGAGTTGCTCCATGCGGCCCTCAGTAACTAAACTGATGCTAGAGATGAATACAATAAGTTAAATAATGATCAAGCCTGGTGCTTTATTTTTGGCAACATGAGCTACGTTAGCAACAGAACAAGAGCCACTTTAAAAGCCTTAGCTTAAAAGTGTTAGTTTGATGATGTCATTTTTGTGTCACCCAGTGGATTTATCCCATCTGGATTTACTTCTTCCTGTCACTACTTTCATGTGGACTGTATTTTTACACCTCGCTCTGTGAGGCAGGATATTTAAACATTCATGAATATCTGTCTGGTTTTGTAGGCAGCCACGTTAAAATATATATCAATCTTTTCCTGTTTGTCTTCAAATATACGCATCCCGATCCTGTGCCAAAAGAAATCTGGACTCTGTCCTCAAGAGGATGTGGGCTGAAAAAGACTCAAAACAAAGTTCAAATGATGTTCAGCCAGTGTTGAATTGGACACAACCCAGTAACAGACATTTGCATAATTTTACTTTTAAGATGAGGAATTCCATGTCTGCGCTTTGAATATAAAAGCTTTCCAAAAGTGTGGATATGATGCAGGGTGAGAAGGGACATTTTGTTGTGTTAACCTATGCTACTAACTGTTCGGCAACTCTACTAGGTTTTGTAGTATGAGCTAATTGTTTTGGTTTAACAGCACATATAGTATACTGTGTGTATAAAGGCGTATTTGGGGTGTCTTCGTAATTCATACAACTTCGACCACCATTTTACCCACTGTAGTTACATTTGAAGTTAACTTGCAATGCTAACGCTCCGACTGTGTTTGTAGTAGTATTTTGTTTCACCACAGAGTGTGGATTAGTAGCTGGAGAGTGGCCTCTACCAAGGAACCCTTGAGCAAGGCACCAAACCCTCATCTGACCAAGCAACACTTTATGATAATTCCTGTTGGTGCATGTGTAGATCTAGAGTTTGTTAGTTGTTAGTAAAACAATACATTTTCCCTCTGCGATCGATAAAGTATTACTAAAGTTCTTCTCTGATTGAATCCTTGTTCTTCCCTCTCCTTCTTACTCTCGTCCTTTTTTCACAAAACCCACATTTTGAATGTGACACCAAACAACAGGCGGACAAAGTTTGCAACAAGCTGGTAAAAAAAGCAGCTGGAG